TAGAATGTGGAACATTTTTTGCAATCTACCATCTGACAAAGGGCTAGTATCCAGAATCTACAAAGAACTAAAACAGATTTACAAGAAAAAAACAAATGACCCCATCAAAAAGTGGGCAAATTATATAAACAGACACTTTTCAAAAGAAGGCATTTATGCGGCCAACAAACATATGAAAAAATGCTCATCATCACTGGTCATTAGAGAAATGCAAATCAAAACCACATCGAGATACCATCTCATGCCAGTTAGAATGGTGATCATTAAAAAATCTGGGGACAACAGATGCTGGAGAGGATGTGGAGGAATAGGAACACTTTTACACTGTTGGTGGGAGTGTAAATTAGTTCAACCATTGTGGAAGACAGTGTTGCGATTTCTCAAGGACCTAGAAATAGAAATTCCATTTGACTGAGCAATCCCATTACTGGGTATATACCCAAAGTATTATAAATCATTCTATTATAAAGACACACGCACACGTATGTTCATTTCGGCACTGTTTACAATAGCAAAGACCTGGAACCAACCCAAATGCCCATCAATGATAGACTGGACAAGGAAATGTGGCACATATATACCATGGAATACTATGCAGCCATAAAAAATGATGAGTTGGCCAGGCGTGGTGGCTCATGCCTGTAATCCCAGCACTTTGGGAGGCTGAGGCGGGCGGATCACCTGAGGTCAGGAGTTCGAGACCAGCCTGGCCAACATGGTGAAACCCCACCTCTATTAAAAAAAAAAAAAGAGGAGTTTGTGTCCTTTGTAGGGACATAGATGAACCTGGAAACCATCATTCTCAGCAAACTGACACAATAACAGAAAATCAAACACTGAATGTTCTCACTTATAGGCGGGTGTTCAACAACGAGAACACATGGACACAGGGAGGGGAGCATCACACACTGGGGTCTGTTGTGGGTGGCTAGGGGAAGGACAGCAGAGTGTGGGGAGGTTGGGGAGGGATAACATGGGGAGGAAATGCCAGATATAGGTGATGCGGGGATGGAGGCAGCAAACCACCTTGCTATGTATGTACCTATGCGACAGTCCTGCATGATGTGCACATGTACACCAGAACCTAAAGTACAACTAAAAAAAAAATTGAAAATCACATATTTTGTTCTTTTGTTCCAGAACACAGTTTTAATGTCATAATTGAATCTGTATTAGTGTTTTGTTTTGTTTTGTTTTGTTTTGAGGCAGAGTCTCACTTTGTCCCCCAGGCTGGAGTGCAGTGGTGCAATCTCAGCTCACTGCATCTTCCACCTCCTGGGTTCAAGCAATTCTCTGTCTCAGCCTCCCGGGTAGCTGGGATTACAAGTGCCCACCACCACACCCAGCTAATTTTTGTATTTTTAGTAGAGACGGGGTTTCACCATGCTGGCCAGGCTGGTCTTGAACTCTTGACCTTGTGATCCACCTGCCTTGGCCTCCCAAAGTGTTGGGATTTACAGGCATAAGCCACCGTGCCCAGCCCACCACGCCCAGCTAATTTTTGTATTTTTAGAAGAGACAGGGTTTCACCGTGTTGCCAGGATGGTCTCTATCTCTTGACCTTGTGATCCGCCCACCTCAGCTTTCCAAAGTGCTGGGATTACAGGCATGAGCCACTGTACCTGGCATTATTATTTTTATTATTAAAATTATCTATTGTCCCAGAAGTTTTATTTCTCTAGGGGATATCCTAAATATGGTGCTCATTCTTCTACTCTCCAGTTGGTTGCTACTTAGCTTGCTGGTATTTTCCTTTGCCTACTGAAAATTCTGTTCACCCTCAGGGTACTTTGGGCCTGATGAAAATTGAATTACAGTGGAAAAGAGGATGATGAGTGGCAAAAGGAACAGAGGCGTCAGTTCCTGAATTAGCAAAGCACTAAATGGCAAGCTGCTAGTCTTCTATTAAAGTACCAAAAATAAACAGTCCAGGCCGCTGTGTTTCCTGGACAGTTTTGTTGTGAAGGGTGGACTTTCCCAGCATTTAAAGGATAGGGCAGTCTTAGTATTTTTTTAAGCAGACTTCTGACTTCTGGATCAACCTAAAAAAAAATTATAGCTTTCCCCTTGATCTGGTTCCCTACCAACCACAAATTCTTAGGCTGTGCCAGAACCTTTATCCCCAAAATTAATACTATGATGGTGTGTATCTCACTGCTGCTTCACTTACAGTAGCTTTACAATAATTCTGTAGAATCAACTTGTTGTAAGTTACAAATTACAAGGTTTATAAAATTAGCTAATTTCTTTTTGTACTAACATAAAATTGTATTTTGTTGATAGTATTCATTACCCAGTCAGTATTTTGAACCAAATTCCATGTGATGCTGCATTTGGGATGTTTTTTCCATTTACTCCATAGTAAACCATTGGCTTAGTGTAACGATAATATGATCCAGCAAGGCAAGGAGCCCAGAACTCTGAACATCAGGAACGCATCACGTGCATATTGTATAGTATTTCAGTACAACAGAATAATTTGCTTTCTTCCTAAATCAAAATGAAAAGTATTGATGAGAAATCTGTTCAAAATACGTAAGTCAAAAATACTTTAAGTACACACATTATTCAAAACAATTCTGAGATGTTTGCCCAATTAGTTTAACTTTGAAATTTATGTCAGGGTTTTTTTTTAAGTCTTTAATGTTTTACACATAGAGTCTACCTTCAATTAATGCCTGGGTACTTTTTTGGCTGCCTGTGCAATGACTGACTGAATGGCTTTAAAGGGTCTCTATGTTGATGGGCTGACCTTACATGAGTCATTTTTTAAACTTTCCTTTTGACCCTTCTCCTTGGGAGCTTGCATTCCAGAGCCAGAGTGCATGGGCAGGCCAGTGCTAGAGGAAAAGGAGAATTTTACCCAGACCCTGTAAGAGAACCTCATAGTAAATGAAGCTGTTCAGATGGGAACCAGGCCTACCTTGTCATGTGGACCTTTCATATGTAGCTCTGTGAATGTATTTAAGTACCAATCTATGATTTTCTTCTGTGTTAGTCATGAGTATTTTCCAGAATAAAAACTACCAAGCATGCTAAAATTGAACTTTGCCAGTTGTTAGGTACGTTTGTATAATTAACTTGTTAGCATAGCAGCAATAGTAATGACAAATGACTTTCTTGAAACCTTAGTTTGTTCCAAGTGCTTTATATGTATAAATAGTATGTCATTTAATCCTCATAACAACCCTATTATGGCTACTTTACAGATGAAAAACTAAGGCAAATAGAAGTTAAACAACTTGTGCATGGTTAAACATCTAGCAAGTAGTGGTGCTAAGATATTAGCTCAGGCAGTCTGACTCCAGAGTTCACATTCTAAATCTCTATGTTATGCCACCTCCTGACTAGCTTATCTCTTATAGAGTCTGTGAACGTTGTGTCTCTGGAGGTCTCAAGTTCTTCCTACCTCTGTCACACCTGGATAAAAATAGAATTTATATCCTAGATGCTATCTTGAGTCACTAACTTTCCTTCTTCCTCCCTCATTAAATAGTGCATTAAGGTAAGGGGACATGAGTAAACTTCACTGTCATGAGATATTTGTGAGAACATACGATGTCTCATTGAGAGATCATTTGGTTTCAAGTTAACAAAAACCTGCTAAAGCTAGCTTAAGCAAAGGAGATATTATGGAAGGATACAAGGTTATCTCATAAAACCCAAGAACAAGAATACAGCTAGGCCTCAAGGGGAATGAAAGGCAGGAAGCGGAAAATCAGAAACCAGGAGTATTCCCTTTTAGTTGTTCTCATTAGATGTCCATAGGGGAGAAAGGGAAAGGAAGAGTCAGGTGCTATAAATAGACAAGAATTTTTCAGAAAACAAGGGTGTGGCTAGATATGTACCCCTCAAAAAGTATATTTTCTGTTCTGCATCAATTGAAGGGAAATGCCAATTACAGGTTACGTTGCCCAGTAGATTTGTATGGATTTAAAGTATAGTAACTAAACAATTCCTTTCAGCTACTCCCAATCATCCTGTCCCTCCATAAATCTTGATTCTTGGCATTTTGTTTATTCTCAGTTGATCAGTCTCCAGTTAGGCCTTTTCAACCATTCTGACATCCAAAGGATAAGACCCTTGTTTTCATCTCTTCTCCCCAGGCCTTCGACCTATACCATCAAAGGGCCTGTTGCACTTACCTTTTCAAGTGACAGTCAGGAACCTGCCTAGTTTCCATCCCTAATGTTTATCCTGTATTCACACCCTATCTGAGTAGTTCATACCATCTCTGTTTTCCTTGTCTTTTTTTCCCTACCTTTTCTAGTCCCAATATTATGAATACCTACTGGCTTTTCCTATTTTTAGGGATTCTCCCCCCTCCATTTCCTATTAAACTCTAAATTCTTCAGCTTGAGGGTTCTTCAAAATCATGTCCCATCCTACCTATCTCAGTCATTCCACTGAAGTCCTTCACTCTAAGCAGACCATTTTCCACAATGACCTAGAAACAGCACAGGCTTAACCATTATTCCAAGGCTTTGCTAGTACAGATCCTCTTGCTTATGAAGCTCTTTCCCATTCCTTTCCTTTTCACCTCTCAGAATCAAGCTCATTTATCAGAGCTTCACTTAAGACATTCCCTCTAAAGAGTCCTATATGATCTTTCCAACACCTCAGGTAACAAATTGTCCTGGAGTACCTTGGATTCCTAGGACATCTGACGTTAGTACTAAAACAGGAATATTCCTAGGCAAACCAGGACAGTTACACATCCTCCAACACCTCATTGTCTCCCTTCATTATACTGGCTTGTTAGAACAAAAAGCCTTGTCAAATTGCCAGTAGCCACTACTTCAGCATGTGCAAGGTCCTTTCTTCATAATAAGACTTACTGCTCCTGTTAGGCAGAGACCCTTTTGACTCCCACTTCATTCAGAATATAGTGCTGTACTCAGGTTAATGCCTATTAGTGAATAAGGTGATTTAGTTTTAAGTTGGCACTATATCTGAAATCTTTTCCTTGTGTGTTAATTTATGTCTTTATTTTTTTCCAGCCCAGATGACTTACTCAATGCCTTGAATGAGGGTATCAGTCGTGCTGATGTCATCATCACATCGGGGGGTGTATCCATGGGGGAAAAGGTATGAAAGATAGGGCTCATGAAAATTTATCTACTACAATGTTCTTGCATATGGTTGATTAACTGTGGCCGGTAGGCATCTGTTATTCAAAGCCAGGCACCCACAGAGCTGAAAATCTGTGAGGCTTCAGAAATTACTGGTCTCTCTAAAAGGGATACAATGTGGGTAGGTCAGGGAGCTTACCCTCAGGAGCAACCTGGGGAATCCCACAACTTGCAGAATGGTTTTTGCTATTCCCCTGGAGACCTGATCTGTTCCTCACTCTATTGTACTATATTAGGACATCCTTTATACATGATATTTACTACCAGGGTAAAGCTCTAAGATCCTTCCTTCTGCTCAGATTTAAACATGATTCACCCCACCCCCAGACCAACCAGTTCACCCACCATATATTCCAAATCTACCAAGAATGCTTAGCTCTCCTTCCCCACAAGGAAGAAATGGAGGATTAGGCATTCCTTTTGCTCCTCTTTACAAAATAATAATAAAAATGAAAATATGGCCAGGCATAGTGTCTCATGCCTATAATTCTAGTACTTTGGGAGACTGAGGCGGGCAGGTTGCTTGAGCCCAGGAGTTCAAGACCACCTAGGCAACATGGTGAAACCCCATCACTACAAAAAATACAAAATTTAGCTGGGCATGGTAGCACGTGCCTGTAGTTCCAGCTACTTGGGGGCTGAGGTGGAAGGATCGCTTGAGCCTGGGTGGTCAAGGCTGCAGTGAGCCGAGATTGCACCTCTGTACTCCAGCCTGGGCAACAGAGCGAGACCTTGTCTAAAAAAAAAATACACACACAGACACACACTAGTTTATAGGACTAAGTATATTTGTACATGGTATATATTTATTCCTATAAAAACAATTTGAACATTTCAGTAACACTAAGTTTATATTTCTTAATGAAATGTGTTAGTGGACGATGACTATTGGGTCCATTGAATAATATTATGAAAGTAAAATATTCTTTACTAGATAACCAACCTTAATTTTTGGCTCAAAGATATTTCAGCATAAAATGTTTTGCAAGCTGATAATCCTTTTCCATATTTTCTCTCACATTAATGACTAAACTGAAAAATTACAAAAATACTGTCATAATAGCAATTTTTACTAAAATTCATATTTTCTAATAGTTTGATTTATTTTAAGCTAGATCTTTTATATATGATTGTTCTTGATCTCTGTCCTCTTGTAACTATAAAAGTGCCTAAATTTATAACCGGACTCTTTGGATAGTGAACTGTATTGACTCTGAGAACAAATGTCAGAATTTAGCAACCTGAACAGAAGAATGCCTGCCTTCCCTTCACAAACTTTAGTGTTAGAGTCTTTCAGAATAGCACTGCAGATGCTAAAAACTATAGAAGAAAACCACCTCACATTACATCCAGGAGTGAAAGTACTGAAGTGTGGGTAGGTGTTCTTATAGCAGACAGTTGCTGGGTTAGTGTTCCCTCAAAGTCTCTTTAGCCCCAGGTAGAGCAAATTGCTGCAGACTTCTCCTGAGATCACAAAGGCGAAGGCCTGAGACCTGCACTGTAGTACAGCTGAAAGAAACAATTTTCAACGTCTGTTTTCATTACCATCAAACTGCCTGTGGTACTCTCAGTATTACAAGAGCAAACCATGAAGTCAGGTCTATTTAAATGTTAAATTTGTTATTTCCAGAAGTTGTTTCATGTATAATTTCTCTTAGTTTCTAAACAGCCTAATTGTGGGACAATACCTATTTGGCAGAACTAACGTTTATCTTTTCTAGTACTTCCAGAGAGATGACAAGCTTATATCATATATAGACTTGGCAGTTGTGGCTCAGTTGTGATAAAGACAGAACACTCTCAGCCTAACCTTCATTAGTGCTAACAAAGATGTCATTTATGCCAAGGATTTGCTCACCAGTAAACAAAGCCAATATAGTTACACATATTGGTTCATTTATTTTACTCTCTGTGTGATAAGATACTTACACTAAACCTTTAATTTACTAGGGAAGAGATTTTAGGAACTGGGCATCCCACAGTATTCCTTAGGAGGTGCTAACTGTCCTTTTCTACCTCCTTGAGTGGGAATGAGATGACAGAGGAACCAGGAAGAAAGAGATAAAACATACATGCAGCAAACTCCTGCCAGCCAACAAGTTTTAATTTCAAAATGAATTTCAAGATACCTCCATAGCAAAAATAAAAGAATAAAAGATAGGAATACTTGCTTCAGCCCAGGAGCGAAGCCTGAAAACCAGTTACTAAAAGACAGGGAAATCAAGGAAAAATTCAGAAGCATTTTTTAGCAGGCATGAATATTAAGTGCAGAACCTCAGGTATGCAAGAAATGCATTTGATTCCATTTAAATCGTACTCTAAGTACCTATGCCACAGGACTGGTAGGAAATTTTATTAAGCCACAATTGGAGCTTACTATCTCAAAGAATTATGCTAAGGAATCTGAAGGTACTTAAGCAGCACCAAAGCATCAGGGAGACACACCTGGTCACTGGTCTGCACTGGATACATCTAGAGTATTCTTGTAGTGCCATTAGATCTCAAGTCTTTGCTCCTTTGGGCCATGCTAGGAGCACTAGGATCAAATGGAGGCTGGAAACCTCAGGGCAGCTAGCTTCCTTGGGTGTATTTCACAGCCATCCCTTCTAAAGCCTGACTGCTTCCCCAACATACTACCTGCTAAACAGCAGGGAGGGGGCCCCTGCTTCTTTTAAGACTCACAGACCAGTACCTTCTTCCCAACCAAGGAGAAATGATTCTTCCACAGTTATTTCCCTAAAGATCTCTCCCCTCCTTCACTTCACCCAACCCTACATAGCCTTTTCAAAGAGTTTCATTTTTACAAAACACTGAAAGCTTGTTAAATAGTTAAACAGTATCTGCCTTTTGCCCTGAAAACTAAATAATCATATACATTACTATAAGTTTTCCTCAACCTACAAAATTATTGAATAGCTCAAAGAAAATGAAAGGTGGCAGTAACCCAGAAGGATGCACTAAACTGGACGCCAATGACCTTTTTTGCCCATTTCAAAGTCTCTTAATTTTTGCTGACAGAGTCTCCACCAATCCCTATGATCAAAGTAATCACAAAGATGATAATTGATCACAAAAAAAGGCTAGATTCACAAGATTTGCCCTGATTATTTAGCAACAAGAGTGTTAATTAACCATGTAAGTCCCCTTGATTTATTTTGTAAGTCTAGAGCCACATAGCCTTAGAATATTTAAAACTAACTGGCTGGGCACATTGGCTCACACCTGTAATCCCAGCACTTTGGGAGCCCAGGGTGGGCAGATTGCTTGAGGCCAGGAGTTCAAGACCAGCCTGGCCAACATGGCAAAACCCCATCTCTACTAAAAATACAAAAATTAGCTGGGCATGGTGACACATGCCTGTACTCCCAGCTTCTTGGGAGGCTGAGGCACAAGAGCTGCCTGAACCTGGGAGGTGGAGGTTCCAGCGAGCCAAGATCATGCCACTGCACTCCAACATGGGCGACAGAACAAGGCTCTCTCAAAAAACAAAACAAAAACTAATCAACAATATTCCAAATAAACACACAAAAAAACTTTTCTTTAATATTTCACTAGTCCTTCATCATTCTTGTTCTGCTAAATGTTGAGATAGCAGTCTGCTTTCCTGAAGCCATCTGCCTCCATTCTAAAGAGTCCTGGAATTCCGAATTCAGTCCCCCAGTACTATATAAAAGTTAGCTAAACTGTATCACCTCAGAAGCCTGTACTCAAGAGGTTATTGTTTGATATGTCAATATCAATATTAAAGTGTGTATTATACTCCTTTTCCCTAATGCTCTGAATCTGTCTCTGTGGCAGGCATAAACTATTGACTATAGCTTGTAGCAGAGCTTTCAGGCAAGCATCAGAATAAAAAAAAAAAAAAAAAAAAAAAAAAGGAAATTCCCTATGAATGACAAATATTTTAGAGCTGTGCTTAATTTACTTCTATAACCAATAAGATCAGAATACAAGATAAGTAAAATTTTCTTTTGAGGTACATATGTAACTATTCACAGGAGGTTTTTTTGTTTTTGGTTTTGTTTTGTTTTTTGAGACAAAGTCTCACTCTATCACCCAGGGTGGAGTACAGTAGTCCCATCATAGTTCACTGCAGCCTTGAATTCTGGGGCTCAAGCAATTGTCCTCCTAAAGTGCTGGGATTATAGGTGTGAGCCACCATGCCAAACTAGAAGTTTTAATCAGTATTTCCTCTTAGGGTAAAATAGCAAGGGCATTGTCAGATTTCCAGGAACTTCCTGTAAAGCAAACAATTTCTGAAATATTTATATTAATAACAATTTGCCTATAAGAATCTAACCTAGGACAGACTATCTCTTCTCAGATATGGCAGCTCCTCTTATGAAACTTCAAATGAATCTAATTATTCCCAGCATTTCCTTTTATAAGATGAAAACAAATATGGGGTTTTCTAGAGGCCCTCTAGGAAATTTTAAAGATAATTTTTGGTAAGAAAAGAACATTTTTTCCTAAGTTTTGATCTGATCTTTAAAAGGGAAAGTTGAAAGAATTATCAAAAAAGAATGGGGCACTTGATAAAGACCTAAGAAACTGTTCTTGGTTATCTAATTTTTCAAAGCAACAATAAAATATTTGAAAATGAACATAGAAGGTGACGTGATTATAAATAACCTTGACTCATTCATAAATGAGGAGCCTTTGTTCTTTGCTTTTTTATCTATTTAAATAAAGAGAAAATAAACAGAAAGCACAAAAAAGCATTTACACAAAAAGAATAACCTTTCTTATTGTAGGACCGGCGTTAATCAGTGCCAAAGAAATAAGCACATCAAAACTTAGCAAACTCACTAAAATTTTAATGTTTCCCAGCTTCACTTCAGATGCAGTTATTAGAAACCAAGGCAAATGCAATCTCATAAAACTTTGTCCTTTGTTATGCTCTTTTATATTCTGGAGCAAACTGACACTTTAGAACAAAGAGTAGTCTTCACACCT